TCACTGTGAATGGTATAGGGCAGAGCTCTTTCTTCAGGTCTGATTAATATACCCTCACTGTGAAGGGTATAGGGCAGAGCTCTTTCTTCAGGTCTGATTCATATACCCTCACTGTGAAGGGTATAGGGCAGAGCTCTTTCTTCAGGTCTGATTCATATACCCTCACTGTGAAGGGTATAGGGCAGAGCTCTTTCTTCAGGTCTGATTAATATACCCTCACTGTGAAGGGTATAGGGCAGAGCTCTTTCTTCAGGTCTGATTCATATACCCTCACTGTGAAGGGTATAGGGCAGAGCTCTTTCTTCAGGTCTGATTCATATACCCTCACTGTGAATGGTATGGGGCAGAGCTCTTTCTTCAGGTCTGATTAATATACCCTCACTGTGAATGGTATGGGGCAGAGCTCTTTCTTCAGGTCTGATTAATATACCCTCACTGTGAATGGTATAGGGCAGAGCTCTTTCTTCAGGTCTGATTAATATACCCTCACTGTGAATGGTATAGGGCAGAGCTCTTTCTTCAGGTCTGATTAATATACCCTCACTGTGAATGGTATAGGGCAGAGCTCTTTCTTCAGGTCTGATTAATATACCCTCACTGTGAATGGTATAGGGCAGAGCTCTTTCTTCAGGTCTGATTCATATACCCTCACTGTGAATGGTATAGGGCAGAGCTCTTTCTTCAGGTCTGATTAATATACCCTCACTGTGAATGGTATAGGGCAGAGCTCTTTCTTCAGGTCTGATTAATATACCCTCACTGTGAATGGTATAGGGCAGAGCTCTTTCTTCAGGTCTGATTCATATACCCTCACTGTGAATGGTATAGGGCAGAGCTCTTTCTTCAGGTCTGATTAATATACCCTCACTGTGAATGGTATAGGGCAGAGCTCTTTCTTCAGGTCTGATTAATATACCCTCACTGTGAATGGTATAGGGCAGAGCTCTTCTTCAGGTCTGATTCATATACCCTCACTGTGAATGGTATAGGGCAGAGCTCTTTCTTCAGGTCTGATTCATATACCCTCACTGTGAATGGTATAGGGCAGAGCTCTTTCTTCAGGTCTGATTAATATACCCTCACTGAGACGGAATGGTATAGGCTTGTAGGATGTATTGTATATTCTGATTGGGTGAAATGAAACAAACGGGGGATAACAATAAATAAAAAGGAAATAAAACAAATCCAAGTCTCTGATGTTTTTGCAATTCAATACTATACTCAAGGTACATCCAGATAAAGTGCATACATCTAATATTTTAATTGTATTTAAGGCAAATGGAAAGAGCTTTGAATGGGGTAGTTGAAAATAAAGAAAATATAATTTAAATAAATAATCAAGATGAAAGCTGTCCAGATATCCGCCCTCCCAGGTCTCATCTTCATCTGGGTATTGTTTCCCCCTGATGGCTGAATACCACACTATGGTTTAATTTAGTGGGATAGCTTCTTCTTTCCCTGAGCCACCTGTTCCCCTGTCCTCCTCTCATCCCCTTCTCTCTTCATGCTATCTTCTCACGCGGCACCTCATTCCTCCCTATCACCTCAACACACCCACTCGCCTTTGAAAACCTGGAATGGAATGAGTTTATGTCGTCAATTTGATTAATCATATTAATTTGTACTTATTAGTGGCCACTTGAAAAGAGATGACAATGAGATGAATGACATGAGTAAATGTTTCCCTCCCTTTTACACCATCCCTCCAGCTGAGAGAGCGAGAGAGAGAGAGAGGGAGAGAGGGAGAGGGAGGAGGAGAGGGAGATGGAGAGAGGGAGAGAGGCGCGATGTAGAAGAGAGTATAGAAGCAGAGCTCGAGAGAGCCGCATTCTCAGCTCTCTTATATATAGATGCTCTGCATGCTCTCTTCTCCGAGCATCGCTGTATCTATATGCGCTCGCTCTAGCGCTACTCGATATCGTTGCTCTCGTCTTCTATGAGAGAGAGCTCGACTTTTATATGATGACAAAATTGGCTATCAAGATTTCGTTGCTAATTGAATGTCTGTTTTTATTAATGATGAGATTTATAAAAGGTCCTTGAGAGAAGAATATTAATTATTTAATCAACGCTCTACAAATTAAAGGGGGAGTATAGTTCTAGAACACAGATGGTCTATAAATACCCTGCCTGTTTTGGTCCCATTTTTCCATTTTTATTTATCTTATACATAAACAACATTAAACAGTATGCTCTGATATATTGTCTATGTATAATTAATAATTTTGTAATAACAAAGATATTTCATTTCAATAGACAGACTCCTTCAAAACAAAAACACATTTCTAACCTTGTATGTAAATGTAAACAGTAACATTCCTGGCCTCAGATATATATATATATATATATATATATATATATATATATATATATATATATATACATATATATATATATATATATAAAATATATATAATGTATAATGTCTGATTCTGTCCCGGACCCACAGATAGACCACAGCTATGCATTCATCATACTTGCTTGGCCGATGTTGAAAAAGAAACACAGGTAAATAAATATATGTAAATCCAGCTAAACAGAGAGGGAGATCCCTAGACCCGATAGCCTGCTTTTTGAATATCATTACAGAACCAGCTGTCCACTGGTTATAAATGATACCTATGAAACAGAAGTGATTGCCTCGTATGATAAAGATAACATGTAATGGTTTGTGCCACAGTGGATCTGATTGTAACCAGCCAGACTATTAGGAGAGGAGATAAAGAGTATTTGGGACTATTTGCTTTGTGTCATAAAAGGAACTTAGCTGTTTGATTTATCTGATTTGCTGGCCAGCCAGTGAGCTGAGCAGTCTGTGCTTACTCTATTGCATACATCTTAAAGAGACTATAATGTCATGGGTGTATAATATATTTCCTCAAAATGTGAGGAGAGACAGATATTTTAGATAACCAGATTGATGAATAAGGCATTCCCACATTTAAAAGTATGATGTTTGTTTGAAATGCAAGGTGCAGACGTGGACAGTAGAATAATGGGGATGTTTTTGATGAGGGGATCCAAATGGTATCTGATCATCTCTCCACAATTGATCACCATCTGCAAATATTTCTCCCCATTTATTAAATTCAGATACATTTGTTCCTCATTCAACAACAACAACAACAACAGATGACAATACAAAAGTCAACATAACAGAGATGACAACACATCCACACCGCTAGACTGGGACGAGTATGTGTGTGTGTCCGTCTGTGCGTGCGTGCGTGCACGCTCTCGCGTGTGTGGGGTGTTTTTTAATTTTTACAATGAAAAGCTGTTCTCTTGTAAGCTTGTCCATAACAAGATTGATCATGGAAACCAAGCCTTCCCACAGAACACAATTTATATATTTAATGAGCATGACTCCAATACAATTAAAGTAATTAAGTCAAACCTCCCTCTCAACCAATGGAACCCACCACCTGTATTATTGGATCTTATTAATGATGTTGCAATATGGATAGGAAGTGTGTTAGACAGAGTTAGCATGATGGGGGTGCAGAGATGACTGCTATGGCTTTGTTTTATAATGATTTACTTCATAAGCATATTTATGACAATCTCATGTATCTCTAAGGTCTCACCTCGTCATACAAAAAGGTGCATAGGACATTATATTGATGGCATAATCCCCCACGTTACATTTGGCATAGTCGGCAGGATTCAAACCTGCACCCCTGAATGAAAAAAAAAAGGCAAACATTTATTATATACAAAAGGCAAATGGCCCCATCCTGATTACCATTCAGCAGCTCTCTAGGGACTTTGAAGGAACATTCAAAGCAAGTGTTAGGTTGGAGTTACACGAAACAACTTTCACACAATTTTTGTTGCATTTAGCCATCAGGCTTACTTTCAGTTGAATTGATTAAGTTATACAAAACACAGTGAGAAACATAGAAAACTTGAGAGGACAGAACTGTTACAGCCCCCAAGCATCCCCACAAGCAGCCGAGGCCGGGCTTCTCTCCTCTCTCCTGTTTTGAATAATTGCATATCTCCTCCCAGCATCACCAGTGTGTCGGCTCTCAGCAGACAGAGAGACCCTGGAGGATCACAACACACACACACACACAACATAGAGGTCAGTGTGGGGAGACACATGCACACACACCCATTTGTAGTGAGTGATGGTGCTGTCGCTGCTGACATTTTGGAGGCCTGGTAGAGGGGGTTTAGAGCCTTATCTCTTAGACTTCTGACGCTTATTAAGTCGAGTGTTGCATTCTACTTCCTGCGTCCTGTGACACTCACATCTCCCCTGATATCCCTATCAGCCGCTGCATGAGGAGAGAGGCATTATTCTTGTAGCTTTAATTCGTCTGGTTCTGTCTGTACATGTACGATATAGCTTGATTCTTGTGTCTGTGCAGTTGGACTACACAACCAACTTAGGAGTGTCGCTTGTTGGTATATAGGTCAGTGATTGAGTGTTTTTGTTGCTCCTTTTCACGGCTACTTCTAACAAGTTTGGTCCAATGCAGTCTTCTTCGGGATTGGTTATTAACACCACAACGGTCAAATGTTTTCTATGCAAGAGCGGGTCATCAGTCAGTAAATCAGTTCAGGGAATAAAGCTGATCTAGAATCAGGTTCCCCCTGGTCAGTAGCAGTACTGATCTAGGATCAGGTTCCCCCTGGTTAGTAGCAGTGCTGATCTAGGATCAGGTTCCCCCTGGTCAGTAGCAGTACTGATCTAGGATCAGGTTCCCCCTGGTCAGTAGCAGTACTGATCTAGGATCAGGTTCCCCCTGGTCAGTAGCAGTACTGATCTAGGATCAGGTTCCCCCTGGTCAGTAGCAGTACTGATCTAGGATCAGGTTCCCCCTGGTTAGTAGCAGTGCTGATCTAGGATCAGGTTCCCCCTGGTCAGTAGCAGTACTGATCTAGGATCAGGTTCCCCCTGGTCAGTAGCAGTACTGATCTAGGATCAGGTTCCCCCTGGTCAGTAGCAGTACTGATCTAGGATCAGGTTCCCCCTGGTCAGTAGCAGTACTGATCTAGGATCAGGTTCCCCCTGGTCAGTAGCAGTACTGATCTAGGATCAGGTTCCCCCCTGGTCAGTAGCAGTGCTGATCTAGGATCAGGTTCCCCCTGGTCAGTAGCAGTGCTGCTCTAGGATCAGGTTTCCCCTCGTTAGTAGCAGGGGTTCCCCTTGGTTAGTACCAGTGCTGATCTAGGATCAGGTTCCCCCTGGTCAGTAGCAATACTGATCTAGGATCAGGTTCCCCCTGATCAGTAGCAGTGCTGATCTAGAATCAGGTTCCCCCTGGTTAGTACCAGTGCTGATCTAGGACCAGGTTCCCCCTGGTCAGTAGCAATACTGATCTAGGATCAGGTTCCCCCTGATCAGTAGCAGTACTGATCTAGGATCAGGTTCCCCCTGGTTAGTAGCAGTACTGATCTAGGATCAGGTTCCCCCTGGTTAGTAGCAGTGATGATCTAGGATCAGGTTCCCCCTGGTTAGTAGCAGTGCTGATCTAGATCAGGTTCCCCCTGGTCAGTAGCAGTACTGATCTAGGATCAGGTTCCCCCTGGTCAGTAGCAATACTGATCTAGGATCAGGTTCCCCCTGGTCAGTTGCAGTACTGATCTAGGATCAGGTTCCCCCTGGTCAGTAGCAGTGCTGATCTAGAATCAGGTTCCCCCTAGTCAGTTGCAGTACTGATCTAGGATCAGGTTCCCCCTGGTCAGTAGCAGTACTGATCTAGGATCAGGTTCCCCCTAGTCAGTAGCAGTGCTGATCTAGAATCAGGTTCCCCCTAGTCAGTAGCAGTGCTGATCTAGGATCAGGTTCCCCCTGGTTAGTAGCAGTGCTGATCTAGGATCAGGTTCCCCCTGGTTAGTAGCAGTACTGATCTAGGATCAGGTTCCCCCTGGTTAGTAGCAGTGATGATCTAGGATCAGGTTCCCCCTGGTTAGTAGCAGTGCTGATCTAGAATCAGGTTCCCACTGGTCAGTAGCAGTGCTGATCTAGGATCAGGTTCCCCCTGGTCAGTAGCAGTACTGATCTAGGATCAGGTTCCCCCTGGTCAGTAGCAGTACTGATCTAGATCAGGTTCCCCCTGGTCAGTAGCAATACGGATCTAGGATCAGGTTCCCCCTGGTCAGTAGCAGTACTGATCTAGGATCAGGTTCCCCCTGGTCAGTAGCAGTACTGATCTAGGATCAGGTTCCCCCTGGTCAGTATCAGTACTAATCTAGGATCAGGTTCCCCCTGGTCAGTAGCAGTACTGATCTAGGATCAGGTTCCCCCTGGTCATTTATTATAATCTAAATGGCAAAACTGTTCCAAAATCTGCACGGCTGCTCTGAGACACTTTGTGAATACGGGCCCAGTTCAGAAACATCTTTATTGTTCCCGAAAAGTCAATTTGAGTGCATCATAATTCATAATAATTACATCATAATAGACATTTAAATAAACAAACATAAAACCAAATAATAAAAAACATATACTTGGAAGAATAAAAGTACGATAAAAACTGGGCCTTATTCTCAGATCTAAGCCGGGACGTTGCATTGTCTTACATCAGGCGGCGTCACTCCGACGCGACGCTCGTCCCTCAGCGCATGAGGAATTGTCGCGCTATCTGACGTAAGATAATTGGACCAGTGATGTTTCCTGTGGCTGTGGTACCAAGTGGTCTGGGATCAGTGATGTTTCCTGTGGCTGTGGTACCAAGTGGTCTGGGATCGGTGATGTTTCCTGTGGCTGTGGTACCAAGTGGTCTGGGATCAGTGATGTTTCCTGTGGCTGTGGTACCAAGTGGTCTGGGATCAGTGATGTTTAATGTGGCTGTGGTACCAAGTGGTCTGGGATCAGTGATGTTTCCTGTGGCTGTGGTACCAAGTGGTCTGGGATCGGTGATGTTTCCTGTGGCTGTGGTACCAAGTGGTCTGGGATCGGTGATGTTTCCTGTGGCTGTGGTACCAAGTGGTCTGGGATCGGTGATGTTTCCTGTGGCTGTGGTACCAAGTGGTCTGGGATCAGTGATGTTTCCTGTGGCTGTGGTACCAAGTGGTCTGGGATCGGTGATGTTTCCTGTGGCTGTGGTACCAAGTGGTCTGGGATCAGTGATGTTTCCTGTGGCTGTGGTACCAAGTGGTCTGGGATCAGTGATGTTTCCTGTGGCTGTGGTACCAAGTGGTCTGGGATCAGTGATGTTTCCTGTGGCTGTGGTACCAAGTGGTCTGGGATCAGTGATGTTTCCTGTGGCTGTGGTACCAAGTGGTCTGGGATCGGTGATGTTTCCTGTGGCTGTGGTACCAAGTGGTCTGGGATCGGTGATGTTTCCTGTGGCTGTGGTACCAAGTGGTCTGGGATCAGTGATGTTTCCTGTGGCTGTGGTACCAAGTGGTCTGGGATCAGTGATGTTTCCTGTGGCTGTGGTACCAAGTGGTCTGGGATCAGTGATGTTTCCTGTGGCTGTGGTACCAAGTGGTCTGGGATCAGTGATGTTTCCTGTGGCTGTGGTACCAAGTGGTCTGGGATCAGTGATGTTTCCTGTGGCTGTGGTACCAAGTGGTCTGGGATCAGTGATGTTTCCTGTGGCTGTGGTACCAAGTGGTCTGGGATCAGTGATGTTTCCTGTGGCTGTGGTACCAAGTGGTCTGGGATCAGTGATGTTTCCTGTGGCTGTGGTACCAAGTGGTCTGGGATCGGTGATGTTTCCTGTGGCTGTGGTACCAAGTGGTCTGGGATCAGTGGCTGTGGTACCAAGTGGTCTGATAGGGTCCAGTTTCATCAGGAACCAATAACTTTAATCAGAGAAAAGTGACTCAGTCTCATTGACTGGTTATCCAATCAAGGCCAGTCAGAGTGACCGCTAAGCTAATGAGTGTGACGTTATAATAGAAAAACCCCAATTAACACAATTTAATAACCTTAATCAGCGGAACTAACAGGCTGGATTTTTGTGAATTAGACAGAAGCTACATTACTTTGATGCTTTTGTATCATCAAACAGTGGAAAAGGCAACAATTAAAGCACATCCAGCTTACTGTAAAACCCTGCTTCATTCCAACCATAAACGGCATGTCATTGTTTGAAAATGCAGCTAAAACCCCTGAAATAATCTCTTGAGATTTCAGTTCTAAGCGCTGAGATTGTAGTTTGTTGTGTGTGTGTGTGTGTGTGTGAAACTGAGGAGGAGCACATTATTGTTGAAAGACAAGGCTGAATGTGACAGAGGTCATGATGGTTGGGAAGCTGTCTTATGGGATTCGCATGAGCACCGATGTGATGCTGAAAGGTGTTTGGTGTAGCTTGATGTGCATCGCTGAAGGGTGTTTGGTGTAGCTTGATGTGCATCACTGAAGGGTGTTTGGTGTAGCTTGGTGTGCATTGCTGAAAGGTGTTTGGTGTAGCTTGATGTGCATCGCTGAAGGGTGTTTGGTGTAGCTTGATGTGCATCGCTGAAGGGTGTTTGGTGTAGCTTGGTGTGCATTGCTGAAGGGTGTTGGGTGTAGTTTGATGTGCATCGCTGAAGGGTGTTGGGTGTAGCTTGATGTGCATCGCTGAAGGGTGTTGGGTGTAGCTTGATGTGCATCGCTGAAGGGTGTTGGGTGTAGCTTGATGTAGTCCTTGTCCTTGCAGTCCTCTTAAGGTGTCCGCATGCTTCCCAGCTGAAACAGTTTGTAACAGTTCGTGCATATATATCATGACAATATTCTGTGACGTTTTAGAATTTCTTTCTCGAGGCAAGCTGAAGTCGGCAGCCGAAGTCTACACCCCCTCGTCGCTGATTGGTCAACAGTTCTCTGTAGCTCAATGTGGTCCTCTGTAGCTCAATTGGTAGAGCACGGCGCTTGTAACGCCAGGTTAGTGGGTTCGATCCCCGGGACCACCCATACGTAAAAATGTATGCACACATGACTGTAAGTCGCTTTGGATAAAAGTAGGGGTGTAACGATTCGTTTTAACAACGATTCGATTTGTATCACGATTCGTGGTTGTCGATACGATTCAAGGACGATATTGGTTCATTTAGAACGATACGATCCGAAACGATTCAGTGACTTGAAATCGATTCAGTAACCTTTTAGCCAAAAATTCAACCAGTGTGACTGAAATAAATACCTGTATACTGGACAGTGCAGGTGAAGCTTCCTAGGTTCCTGTTTCTTGTAAGGACCGCAATGGTGGCTTGATAATTTCTCGCTCGTCGGCTTCTCCTCTGTCGTCCGCCATGCTATGTTTTGTTGTCTTGGCGCCTTTGCGCTGCTGCTGGCGCGATGACGTCACGGATAGGCAGACTGAATCGAGTAATGTTTAAAGCCTTTATCATTAAAAGTGCTAAGAAAAAACATCCATATAAAGTCTGACGTGCTTAAATCCAATGGGTTATTTCCTAGTATCGATACAATCGATTTATTACATTTTAAAACGATGTTAGATCGATATATGTTGTCCAAAAGGCCAACTCGCCGAGCACAGATCGATGTAGTTGGATCATAGGAATATAAATCGATACATCGATGTAGTAGATGGATCGTTACACCCCTAGATAAAAGCATCTGCTAAATGGCATATTATTATTATATTATTCTTCAGTGAAGTGCCTGTTGTCGTTCAACTAGAGACGACTCGTCCTCATGCTAATTATTTTGACTTGAGAAATACTCCACCAAATATCCGAGTCAGATGCAAAATAACGCGACCAAAGATCTCCTCAGCAAAAACGTCAAAATTAATGACCGATTTCTTGAGTTATCTGAGATTAATTCTGACTGTTTTGAGGAAGTGTATACTGGCTATGGCGTCTCAAAATGGACAAACGTGCTGCTTTTTTCTCGTTTTTTCAAGCAATGGTCTTTTATGCGAGCACACTCGTTCGGTTCACCGAGCCGAGCTTGTCTAGGCGTTAGCCGAACTGAGGCATGCTAAAGCCTTTAGGCATGGTGGATTACATTTTTACATTTTAGTCATTTTAGCAGACGCTCTTACCCAGAGCGACTTACAGTTAGTGAGTGCATATATATATATATTTTTTTTTTCATACTGGCCCCCCGTGGGAATTGAACCCACAACCCTGATGTTGCAAACACCATGCTCTACCAACTGAGCTACATCCCTGCCGGCCATTCCCTCCCCTGGACGACGCTGGGCCAATTGTGCGCCGCCCCACGGGTCTCCCGGTCGCGGCCAGCTACGACAGAGCCTGGATTCAAACCAGGATCTCTAGTGGCACAGCTAGCACTGCGATGCTGTGCCTTAGACCACTGCGCCACTTGCATATAAGGTAGGTATCCAGTCCTTGCAGCTCTCAACAAGTGCCATGAGGGTAGGGGCTACGGCATAAGGGTTGTGTTTCTAGCCATCTCTCTTTCCCAACAACTGCTGTAGTCCTATTGCCACACACAGCCCACTGCAGCACACAGCCTTATTAGCACAATGTTAATGTAGCGTTAATCGCTTTTATTTTCTCACTCCATTAAGTGGGGGCGCTGGCTGCTATCTCTCCTCCTCTCTCTCTCCTCAGGAGACACACACACACACACACACAACACACACACACCGTCACTAATGGACTAAGACACTGGGGCTGTAAAATAACGCCGGGCTACGCTCGATGACAAACGCTCATCGTTGCTTAATTGAAAAGTAATTGCGGAGGTACAGAACACCTGTCACACCAAGAAACGTAGTGTAATTGAGACACAAGGACGACTGACACACTCAGAGAGGTGGCATTGGCAAGCCTGTTGTTGTTGTTGTTGTTGTTGTTGTTGTTGTTGTTGTTGTGCATGGCTGAATGGAGGGAGAGGCCGATGATGATGATGATGATGATGAAGCATAGAAGAAGAACTCCACTGGAGAAATCTATCCTGTTGGCCTTACAGTATGTTATTTCAATATGTTCTCTGTTGGAACACAGATCAGGCTAGTGCCAATTCAACGGAACACAGATCAGGCTAGTGCCAATTCAACGGAACACAGATCAGGCTAGTGCCAATTCAACGGAACACAGATCAGACTAGTGCCAATTCAACGGAACACAGATCAGGCTAGTGCCAATTCAACGGAACACAGATCAGGCTAGTGCCAATTCAATGGAACACAGATCAGGCTAGTGCCAATTTAACGGAACACAGATCAGGCTAGTGCCAATTCAACGGAACACAGATCAGGCTAGTGCCAATTCAACGGAACACAGATCAGGCTAGTGCCAATTCAACGGAACACAGATCAGGCTAGTGCCAATTCAATGGAACACAGAACAAGTGTTGCAGTCAGGTAACTGGGTTAACTGGTTTTCCTACCAACCCCCCCCATACGAAACTGTGGACCTCTGGTTGAAGCCACTAGAGTGTGTATGTTTTCAAGCTGTCATTGATGAGGAAGTGACCATCCCCATTGAGTACCCGCTCAACACATTGGCAGCAGCCATTGACTATATGTATGAGGGAATAACAGCAGGTCTGACTGTTAAAGCCTTGACTGGGGTCCAATGCAAAAGAAGGGGAAGCTGGCTAGCACTAGGGTAACCAATCAGAAACCTTCTCCCTGTTTCAGCACTGTCCTAGGAAAGACTGCATCCCATCCCTAACCACACACACACACACACACACACACACACACACACACACACACACACACACACACACACACACTGACATTGTTAAATGCACTTTAAATCAATTGTGATTTGACTAGTAGTTAATTTATTTGTCTTTTATTTCAGATATCCGCATGCCTGTTATCAATGCCTGTCTGGGCCAGTGAGGGCCTGCTGTATCTATGTGGATTTAAGCAGCTGTCAGGTCCCTGGAGACAAAATATAGTCGTCTCTGAGCAGCCATTTCCCCTGGGGCTGAAACATATTCTTCACTCCGATTGCGTTCCAAATGGCACCCTATTCCCTACATAGTGCACTAAAACCAGTACAACAGGACTGTCTGCAGGGTAATCTACACTAAGACCAAGACAACAGGACTGTCTGCAGGGTAATCTACACTAAGACCAATACAACAGGACTGTCTGCAGGGTAATCTACACTAAGACCAATACAACAGGACTGTCTGCAGGGTAATCTACACTAGACCAAGACAACAGGACTGTCTGCAGGGTAATCTACACTAAGACCAATACAACAGGACTGTCTGCAGGGTAATCTACACTAGACCAAGACAACAGGACTGTCTGCAGGGTAATCTACACTAAGACCAATACAACAGGACTGTCTGCAGGGTAATCTACACTAAGACCAATACAACAGGACTGTCTGCAGGGTAATCTACACTAAGACCAAGACAACAGGACTGTCTGCAGGATAATCTACACTAGACCAGACAACAGGACTGTCTGCAGGATAATCTACACTAGACCAATACAACAGGACTGTCTGCAGGGTAATCTACACTAGACCAAGACAACAGGACTGTCTGCAGGGTAATCTACACTAAGACCAAGACAACAGGACTGTCTGCAGGGTAATCTACACTAAAACCAATACAACAGGACTGTCTGCAGGGTAATCTACACTAAGACCAAGACAACAGGACTGTCTGCAGGGTAATCTACACTAAGACCAAGACAACAGGACTGTCTGCAGGGTAATCTACACTAAGACCAAGACAACAGGACTGTCTGCAGGGTAATCTACACTAAGACCAAGACAACAGGACTGTCTGCAGGACAGATGTAATGTGTAATGTCATGGGTAGGTTGTTTGCAGCTGTTGTGAGTCAGTCTACAGCTGTTTCCTTCTACACGTCCTGTGGTAAAGCGAAGTTGTAAAATCGTAAATACATTTAGGAATACCAGAGTCCTCTTCTCCCAGCTTTCTCCAGAGTCAGTACCTCCAGTGAACTATAGATGGCACTCACTTCAGAGGGACAGGGAGAAGGGGAGGGGATGGAGGGGAGTGAGATGGAGAGGGGAGAGGGATGGAGGGGAAGGAGATGGAGAGGGGAGCGGGAGGGGGAGAGGTAGAGAAAGAGAAAGAATAAGCGAGAGAGGTAGACGGGGAAAGGCACCCTTACCTGTCCTTGAGACGGCCAGCAGAGTGGAGGAGAGGGATAGGTGGAGAGGGAGAGGAGAGGAGAGGAGAAGGGGAGAGGGAGAGGAGAGGAGAGGAGAGGAGAAGGGGAGAGGGAGAGGAGAGGAGAGGAGAAGGGGAGAGGGAGAGGAGAGGAAAACACTATCTATCATGTTAAGGTACACTATCTATAAAAAAGTATGTGCACCCCTTCAAATTAGTGGATTTGGCAATTTCAGCCACAGCCGTTGCTGACAGGTGTATAAATTTGAGCACACCGCCATGCAATCTCCATAGACAAACATTGGCAGTAGAATGGCCTTCCTGAAGAGCTCAGTGACTCATGCCACCGTTCCAACAAGTCAGTTTGTCAAATTTCTGCCCTGCTAGAGCTGCCCCCGGTCAACTGTAAGTGCTGTTATTGTGAAGTGGAAACGTCTTGGAGCAACAACGGCTCAGCCACGCAAGCTCACAGAACGGGACCGGCGAGTGCTGAAGCGCGTAGCGGGTAAAAATCGTCTGTCCTCGGTTGCAACACTCACTACCGAGTACGAAACTGCCTCTGGAAGCAACGTCAGCGCAAGAACTGTTAGTCGGGAGCTTCATGAAATGGGTTTCCATGGCCGAGCAGCCTCACACAAGCCTAAGATCACCATGCGCAATGCCAAGCGTCGGCTGGAGTGGTGTAAAGCTCGCCGCCATTGGACTCTGGAGCAGTGGAAATGCGTTCTCTGGAGTTATGAATCACGCTTCACCATTTGGCAGTCCGACAGACGACTCTGGGTTTGGCAGGATGACAGAAGAACGTAGGTCCATACAGAAATTGTTTGTCGAGATCGGTGTGAAAGAACTTGACTGGCCTGCACAGAGTCCTGACCTCAACCCCATCGAACATCTTTGGGATGAATTGGAATGGCATCTGCAAACCAGGTCTAATCGCCCAACATCAGTACCCGACCTCACTAATGCTCTTGTGGCTGAATGGAAGCAAGTCCCCGCAGCAATGTTCCAACATCTAGTGGAAAGCCTTCCCAGAAGAGTGGAGGCTGTTATAGAGACCAGTGGTGTAAAGTACTTAAGTAAAAATATTTTAAAGTACTACTTAAGTAGTTTTTTGGGGTATCTGTACTTTACTTTAGTATTTCTATTTTTTACAACTTTTACTTTTACTTCACTACATTCCTAAAGAAAATATTGTACTTTTTACTCCATACATTTTCCCTGATAACCAAAAGTACTCGTTACATTTTGAATGCTTAGCAGGACAAGGAAATGGTCAAATTCACGCACTTATCAAGAGAACACGTGGTCATCCCTACTGCCTCTGATCTGGCGGACTCACTAAACACAAATGCATATTTTGTAAATAATCTCTGAGTGTTGGGGTGTGCCCCTGGCTATCCGTAAATTTTCAAAACAAGAAAATGGTGCCATCTGCTTTGCTTAGTATAAGGAATTTTAAGTGATTAATACTTTTACTTTCACTTTTGATACTTAAGTATATTTTAGCAATTACATTTACTTTTGATACTTAAGTATATTTAAAACCAAATACTTTTAGACTTTTACTCAAATAGTATTTTACTGGCTGACTTTCACTTTTACTTGAGTAACTTTCTATTAAGGTATCTATACTTTTACTCAAGTATGACAATTGGGTACTTTTCCCACCACTGATAGAGGCAAAGGGCGGGACCAACTCCATATTAATACCCATGATTTTGGAATCAGATGTTCGAGGAGCAGGTGTCCACATACTTTTGGTCATGTAGACGCCCTCAACGCTGGAAGACCTAAATCATGACCTCCTCCTCTAATTTATACACTGAGCATATTGAAGTTATCCCATCCTATGACAATATCCTCCACTCACTCCTCTCTCTCTCACCTGGTCTACAGTGAGGGAAAAAAGTATTTGATCCCCTGCTGATTTTGTACGTTTGCCCACTGACAAAGACATGATCAGTCTATAATTTTAATGGTAGGTTTATTTGAACAGTGAGAGACAGAATAACAACAACAAAAATCCAGAAAAACGCATGTCAAAAATGTTATAAATTGATTTGCATTTTAATGAGTGGTCCTCGGTAGCTCAGCTGGTAGAGCACGGTGCTTGTAACACCAGGGTAGTGGGTTCAATCCCCGGGACCACCCATACACAAAAATGTATGCACGCATGACTGTAAGTCGCTTTGGATAAAAGCGTCTGCTAAATGGCATATTATTATTATGTTCATTGGCAAACTACAGATGGCCCTGTATATGTGCTTTCTTGAGCAGGGGGACCTTGCGGGCGCTGCAGGATTTCAGTCCTTCACGGCGTAGCATGTTACCAATTGTTTTCTTGGTGACTATGGTCCCAGCTGCCTTGAGATCATTGACAAGATCCTCCTGTGTAGTTCTGGGCTGATTCCTCACCGTTCTCATGATCATTGCAACTCCACGAGGTGAGATCTTGCATGGAGCCCCAGGCCGAGGGAGATGGACAGTTATTTTGTGTTTCTTCCATTTGCGAATAATCGCACCAACTGTTGTCACCTTCTTACCAAGCTGCTTGGCGATGGTCTTGTAGCCCATTTCAGCCTTGTGTAGGTCTACAATCTTGTCCCTGACATCCTTGGAGAGCTCTTTGGTCTTGGCCATGGTGGAGAGTTTGGAATCTGATTGATTGATTGCTTCTGTGGACAGGTGTCTTTTATACAGGTAACAAGCTGAGATTAGGAGCACTCCCTTTAAGAGTGTGCTCCTAATCTCAGCTCGTTACCTGTATAAAAGACACCTGGGAGCCAGAAATCTTTCTGATTGAGAGGGTGTCAAATACTTATTTCCCTCAATAAAAAGCAAATCAATTTCTAACATTTTTGACATGGATTTTTGTTGTTGTTATTCTGTCTCTCACTGTTCAAATAAACCTACCATAAAAATTATAGACTGATCATGTCTTTGTCAGTGGGCAAACGTACAAAATCAGCAGGGGATCAAATACTTTTTTCCCTCACTGTATATATTTGCGAGAAAAAAAAACACATGGGGGATTGAAAGTGGTGCAGACAATGAAGAGCCTACCCCCCCCCCCCCCCCCCCCCCCCCCAAAAAAAGTGAAAAATAAATTTAAAATAACAATAACAATAACGAGGCAATATACAGGTGGTACCGGTACAAAGTCAATGTGTGGGGGTACAAGTTAGTTGAGGTAATTTGTACATGTAGATAGGGGTAAAGTGACTATGCATGGATAATAAACAGTGAGTAGCAGCAGTGTAAGGGGGGGTCAATGCAAATAGTCCGGGTAGCCATTTGATTAATTGTTCAGCATTCTTATGGCTTGGGGGTAGAAGTTGTTAATGAGCCTTTTGGACCTAGAGTTGGCGCTTCAGTACCGCTTGCCGTGCAGTAGCAGAGAGAAAAGTCTATGACTTGGGTGACTGGAGTCTTTGACAATTATTTAGCCTTCCTCTGACACCGCCTAGTATAGAGGTCCTGGATGGCAGGGAGCTTGGCCCCAGTGATGTACTGGGCCGTACGCACTACCCTCTGTAGCGCCTTACGGTCGGATGCTGAGCAGTTGCCATACCAGGCAGTGATGCAACAGGTCACGATGCTCTCGATGGGGCAGCTGTAGAACCTTTTGAGGATCTGGGGACACATGCCAAATATTTTCAGTCTCCTGAGGGGGAAAATGCATTGTTGTGCCCTCTTCATGACTGTCTTGGTGTGTTTGGACCATGATTGTTTGTTGGTGATGTGGACACCAAGGAACTTGAAACTCTCGACCCGCTCCACTACAGTCCCGTCAATGTGAATGGGGGTGTGTTCGGCCCTCCTTTTCCTGTAGTCCACGATCAGCTCCTTTGTCTTACTCACATTGAGGGAGAGGTTGTTGTCCTGGCACCACACGGCCAGGTCTCTGACCTCCTCCCTATAGGTTGTCTCATCGTTGTCATTGATCAGGCCTATCACTGTTGTGTCGTCGGCAAACTTAATGATGGTGTTGGAGTCATGCCTGGCCATGCATTCATGGGTGAACAGGGAGTACAAGAGGGGACTAATCACGCACCCCTGAGGGGCCCCCGTGTTGAGGATCAGCGTGGCAGATGTGTTGTTGCCTACCCTTACCACCTGGGGAGGCACGTCAGGAAGTCCAGGATCCAGTTGCAGAGGGAGTTGTTTAGTCCCAGGGTCCTTAGCTTAGTGATGAGCTTTGTGGGCACTATGTTGTTGAACGCTGAGCTGTAGTCAATGAACAGTATTCTCACATAGGTGTTTCCGAGATGATGGTGTTGATGTGAGCCATGTCAGTGAAGACACTTGCCAGTTGGTCCGCGCATTCACTGCGTACACGTCCTGGTAATCCATCTGGCCCCGCGGCCTTGTGAATGTTGACATGTTTAAAGATCTTGCTCACATCGGCTACGGAAAGCGTGATCACACAGTCGTCCGGAACAGCTGGTGCTCTCATGCATGCTTCAGTGTTGCTTGCCTTGAAGCAAGCATAAAAGGCATTTAGCCTGTCTGGTAGGCTGGCATTACTGGGCAGCTCGCGGCTTTCCCTTTGTAGTCTGTAATAGTTTGCAAGCCTTGCCACATCCGACGAGCGTTAGAGCCGGTGTCGTAGGATTCAATCTTAGTCCTGTATTGACGCTTTGCCTATTTGATGGTTTGTCTGAGGGCATAGAGGGATATCTTATAAGCGTCCAGATTAGTGTCCCGCTCCTTGAAAGCGGTAGCTTCAGCCTTTAGCTCGGTGTGGATGTTGCCGGTAATCCATGGCTTCTGGTTGGGATATGTACGTACGGTCATTGTGGGGACGACGTCATCGATGCACTTATTGATGAAGTCGGTGACTGAGGTGGTATACTCAATGCCATTGGATGAATCCCGGAACATATTCCAGTCTGTGCTAGCAATACAGTCCTGTAGCGTAGCATCCGCGTCTTCTGAACACTTCCGTATTGAGCGAGTCACTGGTACTTCCTGCTTTAGTTTTTGCTTGTAAGTAGGAATCAGGAGGATATAATTATGGTCAAATTTGCCAAATGGAGGGCGAGGGAAAGCTTTGTATACGTCTCTGTGTGTGGAGTAAAGGTGGTCTAGAGTTTTTTTCCCTCTGGTTGCACATGTGACATGCTGGTAGAAATGAGGTAAAACTGAATTAAGTTTGCCTGCATTAGTGTCCCCGGCCTCTAGGAGCGCCACTTCTGGATGAGCATTTTCTTGTTTGCTTATGGCCTTATACAGCTCGTTGAGTGTGGTCTTAGTGCCAGCATCGGTTTGTGGTGGTAAATAGACGGCTACGAAAAATATAGCTGAAAACTCTCTTGGTAGATAGTGTGGTCTACAGCTTATCATGAGGTAGTCTACCTCAAGCGAGCAATACCTCAAGACTTCCTTAATATTAGAAATTGCGCACCAGCTGTTATTGACAAATAGACACACACCACCACCCCTCGTCTTACCGGACGTAGCAGTTCTGTCCTGCCGATGCACGGAAAACCCAGCCAACTGTATATTTTCCGTGTTGTCAGTCACGACTCTGTGAAACATACGATTTTACCGTTTTGAATGTCCCGTTAGTAGGATAGTCTCGAACGGAGATCATCCAGTTTATTCTCCAGTGATTGCATGTTGGCCAATAGAACGGATGGTAGAGGCGGGTTACCCACTCGCCAATTAATTCTCACAAGGCACCCCGATCTCCACCCCCTGTTCTTCCGTCTTTTCTTCACGCGAATGACGGAGATTTGGGGCTGGCCTCGGAGAAACAGTATATCCTTCGCGTCGGACTCATTAAAGAAAAAATCTTTGTCCAGTTTGAGGTGAGTAATCGCTGTTCTGATGTCCAGAAGCTCTTTTTGGTCATAAGAGACGGTAGCAGCAACATTATGTTGTCACAAGTGTAGAGAGGAGTAGGCAGGAGGCAGTCACAGGTTTAGAACTACTGAATTTATTAAAGCACCATAGCTTAAAGCGGGACGAAACCCACAGTGCAAAATATAAAGTACTCAGGAAATAATAGGAGAGATTCGTCTCAGGAAAACAAGCAACATATACAATGACTGACAAAGACAAATGACAGAGGGAGTATATATACAGTGATAGAGTGGGGATTGGAACCAGGTGTGTGTAATGATGACGAGACAAGTCCGGGGGTTGATGAGTGAAGGGCGTTTGCCAGCAGCAGGTTCGGCAGCAGCTAGAAGGCCGGCGACGGCGAACGCCTGAGCTGGACAGGAGGGGGAGCCAAAGCGAAGGCTGGTGTGACATATGTACAAAATAAGTTACAAACAATGCGGAAAAACACACAAAAAAGCACAGTTGGTTCGGAGCCCTTAAAATGGCAGCCATTATTATTACCCCAAGGCTCGATCCTAGGCCCCATGCTCTTCTCAATTTACATCAACAACATAGCTCAGGCAGTAGGAAGCTCTCTCTCCGAACACCTCCAAAACAAAGGTCATGTGGTTCGGATATGTCTCGGGACATATCCAAGCTGCAGGCTAAGATTAAATCTAGACTTGGTTTCCTCTGTGGTAATCGTTCCTCTTTCACCCCAGCTGCCAAACTAACCCTGATTCAGATGACCATCCTACTCATGCTAGATTACGGAGACGTAATTTATAGATCGGCAGGTAAGGGTGCTCTCAAGAGACTAGATGTACTTTACCATTCAGCCATCAGATTTGCCACCAATGCTCCTTATAGGACACATCACTGCACTCTATACTCCTCGGCGCAAGACCCACTACTTGATGCTTATTTATAAAACCCTCTTAGGCCTCACTCCCCCCTATCTGAGATACCTACTGCAGCCCTCATCCTCCACATACAACTCCCGTTCTGCCAGTCACATTTTTTTAAAGGTCCCCAAAGCACACACATCCCTGGGTCGCTCCTCTTCTCAGTTTGCTGCAGCTAGCGACTGGAACGAGCGGCAAAAAACACTCAAACTGGACAGTTTTATCTCCATCTCTTCATTGAAAGACTCAATCATGGACTCTCTTACTGACAGTTGTGGCTGCTTCGTGTGATGTATTGTTGTCTCTACCTTCTTGCCCTTTGTGCTGTTGTCTGTTCCCAATAATGTTTGTACCATGATTGTGCTGCTACCATGTTGTGCTGCTACTATGTTTATTCTGCTACTATGTTGTGCTGCTACCATGTTGTGCTGCTACCATGTTGTGCTGCTACCATGTTGTGCTGCTACCATGTTGCGCTGCTACCATGTTGTGCTGCTACCATGTTGTGCTGCTACCATGTTGTGCTGCTACTGGGTTGTTGTCATTTGTATTTTTATTTGTATTTATTATGGATCTCCACTAGCTGCTGCTAAGTCAGTTATACATTTTTACAAATTAAGGCAGTTATACATTTTAAAAACATTATAATACATTCATAACAGATTTCACAACATTTTAAGTGTGTGCCCTCAGGCCCCTACTCTACTACCACATATCTACAACTACAACTACAAAATCCATGTGTACGTGTGTGTATAGTGCATATGTTACATGTAATGGACATACACAAAATAGTCCAAATTGGTGAAGTGAAATGAAAAAAATAACTTGTTTCAGAAAATTCAAAAAAAAAAAATAACGGAAAAGTGGTGTGTGCATATGTATTCACCCCCTTTGCTATGAAGCCCCTAAATAAGATCTGGTGCAACCAACTACCTTCAGAAGTCACATAATTAGTTAATAAAGTCCACCTGTGTGCAATCTAAGTGTCACATGATCTGTCACATGATCTCAGTATATATACACACCTGTTCTGAAAGGTCTGCAACACCACTAAGCAAGGGGCACCACCAAGCAAGCGGTCCATGAAGACCAAGGAGCTCTCCAAACAGGTCAGGGACAAAGTTGTGGAGAAGTACAGATCAGGGTTGGGTTCTAAAAAAATATCCGACACTTTGAACATCCGACAGAGCACCTTTAAATCCATTATTAAAAAAATTGAAAGAATATGGCACCACAACAAACCTGCCAAGAGAGGGCCGCCCACCAAAACTCACAGACCAGGCAAGGAGGGCATTAATCAGAGAGGCAACAAAGAGACCAAAGAGACTAAAATTGAACTTTTTGGCCATCAAGGAAAACGCTATGTCTGGCGCAAACTCTACACCTCTCATCACCCCGAGAACACCATCCCCATAGTGAAGCATGGTGGTGGCAGCATCATGCTGTGGGGATGTTTTTCATCAGAAAGGACTGGGAAACTGGTCAGAATTGAAGGAATGATGGATGGCGCTAAATACAAGGAAATTCTTAAGGGAAACCTGTTCCAGTCTTCCAGAGATTTTGAGGTGGCTCTACAAAGTATTGACTTTGGGGGGTGAATAGTTATGCACACTCAAGTTTTCTGTTTTTTTGTCTCATTTCCTGTTTGTTTCACAAGAAAAAATTGGTGGTAGGCTTGTTGTGTAAATGAAATGATACAACCCCCCCCAAAATGCATTTTAATTCCAGGTTGTAAGGCAACAAAATAGGAAAAATGCCAAGGGGGGTGAATACTTTCTCAAGCCACTGTAGACACACTGGCTTTACTCAAAGCCAGTGGCATGTCATTAGTAAAGATTTAAAAAAGTAAGGGGCCTAGACAGCTGCCCTGGGGAATTCCTGATTCTACCAGGATTTGTTAGATACTCATTACACCCTCTGTGTTCTCTTAGACAGGTAACTCTTTATCCACAATTTAGCAGGGGGTGTAAAGCCATAACACGCACGTTTTTCCAGCAACAGACTATGATTGATAATGTCAAAAGCCGCACTGAACTCTAACAAAACAGCCCCCACAATCTTATTTTCATCGATTTCTCTCAGCCAATCATCAGCCATTTGTGTAAGTGCTGTGCTTGTTCAATGTCCTTCCCTATGAGCGTGCTGAAAGTCTGTTGTCAATTTGTTTACTGTAAAATAGCATTGTATCTGGTCGAACACCATTCTTTCCAAAAGTTTACTAAGGGTTGGTAACAGGCTGATTGGTTGGCTATTTGAGCCAGTAAATGGGGCTTTACTATTCTTAGGTAGGGAAATAACTTTTGCTTCCCTCCAGGCTTGAGGACACACACTTTCTAGTAGGCTTAAATTGAAGATATGGCAAATATCTGTTGTGTTGCTACCATGTTGTGTTGTTGTCACGTTGTGTTGCTACCATGTTGTGTTGCTACCATGTTGTGTTGTTGTCATGTTGTGTTGTTGTGATGTTGTGTTGCTACCATGTTGTGTTGTCATCATGTTGTGTTGTTGTCATGTTGTGTTGCTACCATGTTGTGTTGCTACCATGTTGTGTTGTTGTTATGTTGTGTTGTTGTCATGTTGTGTTGCTACCATGTTGTGTTGTTATCACATTGGGTTGTTGTCATGTTGTGTTGCTACCATGTTGTGTTGCTACCATGTTGTATTGGTATCATGTTGTGTTGTTGTCATGTTGTGTTGCTACCATGTTGTTTTGCTACCATGTTGTGTTGTCATGTGTTGCTGCCATGTTGTGTTGCTACCGTGTTGTTGTCATGTTGGTTTGCTACCATGTTGTGTTGTCATGTGTTGCTGCCATGTTGTGTTGTTGTCATGTTGTGTTGCTACCATGCTGTGTTGTCATGTGTTACTGCCATGTTATGTTGTTGTCATGTGTTGCTGCCATGTTGTGTTGTTGTCTTAGGTCTATTTGTGTAGTGTTGTGGTGTCTCTCTTTATGTAGTGTTGTGGTGTCTCTCTTTATGTAGTGTTGTGGTGTCTCTCTTTATGTAGTGTTGTGGTGTCTCTTTATGTAGTGTTGTGGTGTCTCTCTTTATGTAGGGTTGTGGTGTCTCTCTTTATGTAGTTTTGTGGTGTCTCTTTATGTAATGTTGTGGTGTCTCTCTTTATGTAGTGTTGTGGTGTCTCTCTGTATGTAGTGTTGTGGTGTCTCTTTATGTAGTGTTGTGGTGTCTCTTTATGTAGTGGTGTGGTGTCTCTCTTTATGTAATGTTGTGGTGTCTCTCTTTATGTAGTGTTGTGGTGTCTCTTTATGTAGTGTTGTGGTGTCTCTTTATGTAGTGTTGTGGTGTCTCTCTTTATGTAATGTTGTGGTGTCTCTTTATGTAGTGTTGTGGTGTCTCTTTATGTAGTGTTGTCTCTCTTTATGTAGTGTTGTGGTGTCTCTTTCTGTAGTGTTGTGGTGTCTCTCTCTATGTAGTGTTGTGGTCTCTCTTTATGTAGTGTTGTGGTGTCTCTCTTTATGTAGTGTTGTGGTGTCTCTCTTTATGTAGTGTTGTGGTGTCTCTTTATGTAGTGTTGTGGTGTCTCTTTATGTAGTGTTGTGGTGTCTCTCTTTATGTAATGTTGTGGTGTCTCTTTATGTAGTGTTGTGGTGTCTCTTTATGTAGTGTTGTCTCTCTTTATGTAGTGTTGTGGTGTCTCTCTTTATGTAATGTTGTGGTGTCTCTTTATGTAGTGTTGTGGTGTCTCTTTATGTGGTGGTGTGGTGTCTCTCTTTATGTAGTGTTGTGGTGTCTCTCTTTATGTAGTGTTGTGGTGTCTCTCTTTATGTAGTGTTGTGGTGTCTCTCTTTATGTAGTGTTGTGGTGTCTCTCTTTATGTAGTGTTGTGGTGTCTCTTTATGTAGTGTTGTGGTGTCTCTCTTTATGTAGTGTTGTGGTGTCTCTCTTTATGTAGTGTTGTGGTGTCTCTCTTTATGTAGTGTTGTGGTGTCTCTCTTTATGTAGTGTTGTGGTGTCTCTTTATGTAGTGTTGTGGTGTCTCTTTATGTAGTGGTGTGGTGTCTCTCTTTATGTAGTGTTGTGGTGTCTCTCTTTATGTAGTGTCGTGGTGTCTCTCTTTATGTAGTGTCGTGGTGTCTCTCTTTATGTAGTGTTGTGGTGTCTCTCTTTATGTAGTGTTGTGGTGTCTCTTTATGTAGTGTTGTGGTGTCTCTCTTTATGTAGTGTTGTGGTGTCTCTCTTTATGTAGTGTTGTGGTGTCTCTCTTTATGTAGTGTTGTGGTGTCTCTCTTTATGTAGTGTTGTGGTGTCTCTCTTTATGTAGTGTTGTGGTGTCTCTCTTTATGTAGTGTTGTGGTGTCTCTCTTGTTGTGGTGTCTCTTTATGTAGTGTTGTGGTGTCTCTCTTTATGTAGTGTTGTGGTGTCTCTCTTTATGTAGTGTTGTGGGTCTCTCTTTATGTAGTGTTGTGGTGTCTCTCTTTATGTAGTGTTGTGGTGTCTCTTTATGTAGTGTTGTGGTGTCTCTTTTATGTAGTGTGTGGTGTCTCTCTTTATGTAGTGTTGTGGTGTCTCTCTTTATGTAGTGTGTGGTGTCTCTCTTTATGTAGTGTGTGGTGTCTCTCTTTATGTAGTGTTGTGGTGTCTCTCTTTATGTAGTGTTGTGGTGTCTCTCTTATGTAGTGTTGTGGTGTCTCTCTTTATGTAGTGTTGTGGTGTCTCTCTTTATGTAGTGTGTGGTGTCTCTCTTTATGTAGTGTTGTGGTGTTCTCTTTATGTAGTGTGTGGTGTCTCTCTTTTTGTAGTGTTGTGGTGTCTCTCTTTATGTAGTGTTGTGGTGTCTATCTTGTTGTGGTGTCTCTATAGTAGTGTTTGTGTCTCTCTTTATGTAGTGTTGTGTGTCTCTCTTATGTAGTGTTGTGGGTCTCTTTATGTAGTGTTGTGGTGTCTCTCATTATGTAGTGTTGTGGTGTCTCTCTTTATGTAGTGTTGTGGTGTCTTCTTTATGTAGTGTTGTGGTGTCTCTCTTTATGTAGTGTTGTGGTGCTCTCCTTATGTAGTGTTGTGGTGTCTCACTTGTTGTGGTGTCTCTTTATGTAGTGTTGTGGTGTCTCTCTTATGTAGTGTTGTGTGGTCTCTCTTGTATGTAGTGCTTGTGGTGTTCTCTTTATGAGTGTTGTGGTGTCTCTCTTTAATGTAGTGTTTGGTGTCTCTTATGTAGTGTTGTGGTGTCTCTTTATGTAGTGTGTGGTGTCTCTCTTATGTAGTGTTGTGGTGTCTTCTTATGTAGTGTCCGTGGTGTCTCTCTTTATGTAGTGTCGTGGTGTCTCTCTTATGTATGTTGTGGTGTCTTCTTATGTAGTGTTGTGGTGTCATCTTATGTAGTGTTGTGGTGTCTCTCTTTATGTAGTGTTGTGGTTCTCTCTTTATGTAGTGTTGTGGTGTCTCTCTTTATGTAGTGTTGTGGTGTCTCTCTTTATGTAGTGTTGTGGTGTCTCTCTTTATGTAGTGTTGTGGTGTCTCTCTTTATGTAGTGTTGTGGTGTCTCTCTTGTTGTGGTGTCTCTTTATGTAGTGTTGTGGTGTCTCTCTTTATGTAGTGTTGTGGTGTCTCTCTTTATGTAGTGTTGTGGCGTCTCTCTTTATGTAGTGTTGTGGTGTCTCTCTTTATGTAGTGTTGTGGTGTCTCTCTTTATGTAGTGTTGTGGTGTCTCTCTTTATGTAGTGTTGTGGTGTCTCTCTTTATGTAGTGTTGTGGTGTCTCTCTTTATGTAGTGGTGTGGTGTCTCTCTTTATGTAGTGGTGTGGTGTCTCTCTTTATGTAGTGGTGTGGTGTCTCTCTTTATGTAGTGTTGTGGTGTCTCTCTTTATGTAGTGTTGTGGTGTCTCTCTTTATGTAGTGTTGTGGTGTCCCTCTTTATGTAGTGGTGTGGTGTTTCTTTTGTGGTGATGTGAGTTTTGTCCTATATTTTTATTTTTATTCCCAGGCCCCTTCCCCTGCAGGAGGCCTTTTGCCTGTTGGTATAACGACATTGTAAATAAGAATTTGTTCCTAATTGACTTGCCTAGTAAAATTAAAGGTTACATTTAAAAAATGGAAATGCCCTGTCAGGTCAATGACACAATGACAAGTCACCACAGGTCAATTGGGCCTGGAGGGAATAGTTGGTTGACAAGGGCAGGCAGGCTACCCCTCCCCCCTACTAACCCCTTCTCCCTATACATCTCACGAAGAATATAACGTTAAATGAACAGTGAAAGGAAACGCTTGGCGGTCAATTCTGCGTCTGTCTGGGAGCTGGAAGGACAGCGCCTTGGGGTGTAATCCCCCCCCCCCCCCCCCCCCCTAACTGTCAGCCGGTCGGCTGCGTGGCTGTCCCCCCCCCTAACTGTCAGCCGGTCGGCTGCGTGGCTGTAATCCCCCCCCCCCCTAACTGTCAGCCGGTCGGCTGCGTGGCTGTCCCCCCCCCTAACTGTCAGCCGGTCGGCTGCGTGGCTGTCCCCCCCCCCCCCCCCCCCCCTCCCCTGTCAACACAGTGTCCCGCTTGACCTTGGGCTAGCTATCCACAACATAAAGACTTGAAAGCACATCCAACCGATGACACATTCACTTCCTTTGTGGTTCAATCCAGCAGAAGTCAATTCATTTAGCGTCTGGCTTTCAGGCTTTTAGGCTTAGTCAATGTGGGGGATGGTGGGGTTGTGTGTGTGTGAGTGGGGGGTGAGGGATAGTGGGGGGAGAGATGGGGGCACGTTTAATCAACTTGCCGTACAGCGACTTCCCTGCCCTCACCCCCCTTTCTCAAAATCATCCACAACATCCCAAGCAAAAGGATCTCTGTCAAACAGCAGATTGAGATTATTTTGTCATTCATTTATGTCGTTTCTCCTCAGGTGTAAAAAGATCACTACTATCTCTACTATCACTACTATCTCTACTATCACTACTATCACTACTATCTCTACTATCTCTACTATCACTACTATCCTACTATCACTACTATCCTACTACACTACTATCACTACTATCACTACTATCACTACTATCACTACTATACTACTACTATCTCTACTATCACTACTATCACTACTATCACTACTATCTCTACTATCACTACTATCTCTACTATCACTCTATCCTACTATCTCTACTACACTACTATCCTCTACTATCACTACTATCACTACTATCTCTACTATCACTACTATCTCTACTATCACTACTACCGCTACTATCACTACTATCACTACTATCACTACTATCACTACTATCTCTACTATCACTACTACCTCTACTATCTCTACTATCTCTACTATCACTACTATCTCTACTATCACTACTATCTCTACTATACTACTATCTCTACTATCTCTACTATACTACTATCTCTACTATCTCTACTATCTCTACTATCACTACTATCACTACTATCTCTACTATCACTACTATCTCTACTATCACTACTATCTCTACTATCACTACTATCACTACTATCACTACTATCTCTACTATCACTACTATCACTACTATCACTACTATCTCTACTATCACTACTATCTCTACTATCTCTACTATCTCTACTATCACTACTATCACTACTATCACTACCGCTATTGCCAAAGTTGCCCTTTCATTGTGACACTGGCCTCAAAACAGCCTGGGTACCAGTCTTTATAGCTAACATTCCACTCCTGTTATTAGCCAAAGACAGGAGTGGAATGTTAGCTACAAGACTGTTACCCAGGCTAGCCTCAAAAGGTGACCTGTTTGAATATTTCAAGAACTTATATTTTTCTGAAATATTGCGACAGAACG